TGCTCAGTCACTCCCGGACCCGACGATCGGTTGCAGACCTCGAGACCCGGTGATCTACTTGCCGGAATGCGACTCTGGATTCCGGCCCAGTCATGGCTGGACTTCACTTGTCTGGGAGTCACTTGCATGTTACTCATATTCTACTCCTTCTAACCTCATTAAATCATTCATAACAATCCGGCCTTCCAAGCGTTATCATATCCGCTACCATATGACAGTTGGGATACGTTCGATCATCTATTATCTCGGCGGACCACATCGTATCCCACAAACAAATCGAATCCTGCGCTATTTGGAAGCTGCCTACATACGGAAGGAGAAACTCGACCTATGCAAGCAGCGTGACCATGTGGTCAACCTCCAAGTACCCTGGTAATTGGGCACTTAGTTGTAATCCCCAAGTGATTTTCGTTAACGCCCCTCAACCCCCCTTCCTATAAGCTGATTCAATGTAGTGTCCTTCACCGGATTATTATTTACACTGAACTATGATCCTTGTTGTTGTGCCATGTGAAATTTCAATCTGTTGTATGTTCTGTTCGTTATCAAGTTCATGCAGCTACAGGATGCAGTTGAGAAACTGTCACGAAATTTAAGGACGTCAATAAATCCTGCTGTGTATGCCTGTTTTAGAAATTAAATAAATCAACGAATAAAATAATTCAGTAAAAATAAAATAAATCACCTTTACTAACGATCACGTATTATATAATTTTGGAGGTGTTGTTGCCGTGGTGATTGTTACCCTTATTTAGTTGGCTGCTCGAATATCAAACTATCCGAACGAGAACCCGATTGCTGACCTCGATGTTTCTGTTTCTTGCAGCAAAACGAGTGGAACGTGCAAGGCTTGCCCCTAGATGAGCTGTCGCTGCAGAACGCGGTGATTGCCACCTCTCGCCTGAGATATCCTCTGCTGGTCGATCCACAAGGTCAAGGGAAAAAGTGGCTGAGCAATTTGTATGCTTCCAAATTCCTAGTAAGTAGAGGCTGGCAGCAGTTCTGTTTTCTGCATTCTGGGACCTGATATCTGGTTTTGGAGCCTGTACACTGGCGCACCTTGCGATGATTGTTAGGACCTGCGCCTGGTACTTGTAAGAAGAAGAAGAAGAAGAAGAAGAAGAAGAAGAAGAAGAAGAAGAAGA